ATTGGCGCGTGTTTTCACCACCTAAGAAAAAGGGTCCGGGGACCAAGGCTCCGGACCAAACGTTCGTGTCTAATTAACATTGGTATACATTTGATCCCGTTTATTTTCCGGTTTCACCATAGTTAATTGTTTGTAGCGCCACTAAAGAACTTTTCCCACTGACATAACCTACGGCCTGTGTCGTCCCACCACGGTTACGTGTTCTTGCCGTCTCCCTTTTGATTGGTGAGTAGACAACGGTCGTGCGGTCTGACGCTTGGACCGCGCGCTGTTGTCATTTTGGCGGTTTAAGTATTTTCCGTCGTGAATGAAAAATGAATTGAGGCAAATCCCGTTTGCGTTATCTAATTGTATTACACCAACATTAAAGCATATAATCTCCGCCCTTCCTCTCCCCACATACCTCCCTCCCACGACTCATTTTTGCTTGCTTCTGGGGGTTTTCTTCCGTTTTTTTTGCTTCTTCTGTCTATGGTACGTCTGTGCCTAACTTACTGTCAAAAACATAATTGGTCCGACAAGTCCCGGAAACCATCCAAAAAAGTGTTTTCATACGCTAAACGAACCCGAAACCATGGTTCAGTTTGATCCGCGGCTCCGGGACCACCTCTTTAGTTCAGACCAACAACTTTTTGCGTCTTTTGATCCAGGACCGTGGTCCGTGGCACCTTTCTCACCCTTACAATTTTGGTTCAGGAACCAAACTGAAAAGTCCGAAGGTCCGGACCAAATGGTATGTGTGAAAACGCCCTTTGTCTGCGTCCCAGACTGTAAAGAACTTTTGTAGTTGCTGTTTTCTGCAGCAGTTTAATTCTTTGAACAGAAATACAGGAAAGAAGCCTCGTCACTGTAACTGCTCTTTCTCTTTGTGTTTCCTCACCCAGCTCCCTTCCCCTACTGCCATGGGTGAAGCCCTTCGAGGAATATCCTGCTACCTAAGAGAGGTAAGAGTCCATCCATCAATCTGTCTATAAGTGCAGGTCACCGAGTGCGCTGTCACTTTCACATTCAGCACTGATCGCTCTGATGTGGTGACACCTGACGAAAGGTCATGGGGGCTACCTAAATCAACAAGCTTCTGGCTCATGAGAGTGACAGACAAACTGTGATCACACGGCGCTCTGCTCCTCGCTGGTAGGATAGCTTCTTTAAAGATTTATGGATCTAAGAGGTCAGGTTGAGGTTTGACAACCACTGGACTGACTTTCGAATTTATTAGAAATGATGCAGTATTTTTATTGTAATGTTGTCGGCTGAATATATTCATATACTAAAATATCCTCGTACTTACTGGCTGAGTTTAGAACATTAGTGAGGTAAATATTCAATGAATCAGTTGTTTTAAACACGTTGAGCCGCTGTCATTAGATATAAATGTAATTTTGCAGACTAATGCTGCAGTAAATTGTTTACTTGTGTAAATGAATCAATTAATTTTTCTCATTATAAATCAGCAGGAGAAGCTTGGGTGTAACTAATAACAGTAATTATGGAAGCACAGTACCTAACTTATGTTACCTGTTACACCTCGTTAATAATGTTATTATTTACATCCAAGGGTGGCGGCAGGGTATGGCTTGGTTGGGTTACAGAACTAGCAAAAACTGACCCTTCCTAAGCCCCGCCCCTTTTTGTTCTGTGCTCCAATAACAGTTGAGCGAGCCTTGGTCACCTTCCTCCTTTCCTGTACTTAGGTATGCTATGTGCTAGGCTAATCTGTGTTGAAAAGACAACCACATTTTTAAGATGGTTAAAGGATAAAATTGACATATATATAGTGTTTTGCTAACATTAGCTAACTTAAGATGTGACTATTTATACGTCTCTTTTATATTTTAACTATCTTCAAAATGTGGTTGTATTTTATACACATAGCATATCTACGTACGGACAAAGTCTGAATTAAGTTTGTTTTACAGTTATCTGAAGGTAAAATGAGTGTT